GGGAGAGGAAGCAGAAACGAACTCGAAGACATTTTCTCTCTCAATACCATGAGTTACACAAAATTATTGATTAAGTCCTGCTCTCTCTCTCGTTCTCTCTCTCTCTCTCTCTCTCTCAGTCGAGTATGCTCTTTCGGTAGTGCTCTCTTATACGGAAAATGCCGGCACTTGCTGCAGCTGCTGTTGCTCCAGTTTTTCAGTTTCGGTTTCGTTGGTCCTGTCCTACCGCAAGCAAAAAGTTGGTCAACTTGTCGGGTCTGTCTCTCTCCCTCTCTCCCTCCCTCTCTCTCACTCGCTCTCTCGGGTTCGTCTGTCGCGTATTCAGCACTCTATTTAGCTGAGCAGACGCTGTTACTACTCTCTAACGTTCTCTCTCTCTCTCTCTCTCTCTCTGTGTAGTATTTTTCTGTGTGTTTTGTTTTATATCATTTTTATTTTTTTTATTTTGCTGTGTCAAAGCTTTGTTGGGCCTCGTTTGTAGTTTCGCCTCTGGGCCGAGTCGAGTTTATGTCTTCATCGCATTTGAAATTTATTTGCATGCCGGTCAGGCCGGCAGCCAGCTCTATAAATTAAACATAAATCAGTTGCACGGCAAATCATTTGATTTCATTTGAGTGCGGAGGCCCTCCAGCTTCAGCTCCAGCCCGACACCCAAACCACTCGCAGTCCTTTTAGCATAGCTCGCAATTACAACAAAAGACGCGACTGTCACGTATTGGCCATGCATGAACAACTCTGAATGGCCAGTGCCCAAATTATTCGTTGCCATAAACAACAACAATGCGACAATTGCTTTTGTAAAGGGGTCGTTGCGTCTTAGCAGCGGGGGGAGGGGGTGCTTTTTGTTAGTGGCTGGAAAAAGAAAAACTAACTGACACAAAAATTGATAAGCAAATAGCCATTTAATGGACTTGAACTGAATAGCAAAGTACTCGCAATGATTAGCCGAGAATGAGCAATATCCACACCACTCCCCTCCCCCTCCCCATCACCCTTCCCCTTCCCCACATCAATATGCTATGAAAATCGATAAGAAATTGAGCATTTTGATTCCCTTGGCACGCACCTGGTCGTCCTACACTCACATACCGATATACATATATATTTTACGACACAATTTCCACTAAATTTACGAGTTGCCATGCGAAACTTTAAAAAGAAATTCGCGAACTGTGCGTCGTTTGCTGATAAAGGAATAAAAAACAAGAAAAAAAAAAGAAAGAAACCCGAAAAGGTGCAAGTGGTAAAAGAGGCAGAAAGGCAAATATGGGCTAGGGGGCGGACAGGTGAGGGAAGCGGAAAAACAAAACGCACGTGTGGTCGTAAAAAATTCTAAAGGGTTGTCTTGTTTGTTGGCAACAGCGCGAACGTGGTGAACGAGTCCAAAGGGGGGAAGGGCGGCGGGGCCGCAAGACAAGTTAAGTTAAGACATGTTAACTTAAATAACGGTATGTTGAGCTTTTGTTAAAATGATATTGTGATTTAACGTTCTGAGAAAGCAAGAAAAGTCAAATGCAAATGTTGACTTGGGTAAAGGAACATTTATGCTTTAAAGTTGATCGACAGAAGAGAAAGGGAATGTGATGAAAGGAATTGGAAATCTGTAAATAATATATATAAA